TCTGTTTGCTGTGCCGGCTTTGCTTTCCTGTTGATAAATTAAAAATTAGTACAAGTTCTAATCTGCGATGGTTTTCGAAAGGGATCAAGAAAAGTTGCCAGATAAATAGAAAACTAAGACATAAGTATTATAAAAAAAGAATTATTCCAATAAACACGAATATTCTAGAACACTGAAAAAATACATTTTCCTAGCAAAAAAAATGCGAAAAAGCAGTTTGTATTAAAAAGTAAAAATATATCAAAAGCCACATGGAAAGTTATACAAACCGAAATTGATATGACACATCATAATAATTACATTGACAAAATTGAATTAAATGGTAATACAATATTATTAATGTTCCATCAAATGTTTCAGACATTTTTAATAATTATTTTATGAAAATTAACAATTTTTACAATAATAATTATGACCATAATAATAAAATTAAATACTCAAATGACATAATAAATAATTCAATCTTTCTTACTCCCATTGATGAATCCTATGTTGAAAAAGTAATAATGACATTAAATAATACAAAATCTGAAGGCTATGGCTATGATATATATGTACATTGTGATTAAAACATGTTATGAAAATGAACAAAATAGCCCTATTTTAACATTATTCATAAATTTGTCAATGGAAATGGGTATATTTCCTAATGAAATGAAATAATCTTTATTCAAGTAGGTTTATTAAAAGCACTTTTGAATCGACCAAAAAAATTTTTTTTCTCCTACCACTTGTTCAGGACGTCTTTTAGCTGACAAGAAGAACAAGCGAAAGAAACTTACCAGCACTTTATCATAAGTAATGACATTTACATAAATCATGTCATTACCAAAAAAAATGTGTATTATCTCAATCATAAATACAAATTTCAAAGTCTGTAAGGTCATAGGTTGAACATATAATTAGTCTTTATAGAACAAAGCGAAGGTTATTAATTCCATGCATTGCGAACCTTAAAATAATCATCAACTTAATAGTAGCCTTTACACATAAGTATGTTCTTTACATAAATTTTAAATTTATTTATAGGTAGGTCAATTACATTTTGTGGAACTTTATTGAACATAGCGATGCCTTTACCCAGAAATGATCCTCTGGTTTTCTGAAGTCTGAAGCTTGGAACGGCAAGTTTATTTATATTTCTTGTGTTAAGATTATGAATACTACTTTTTTTGTGAAGGAATCGTAATGTTTTCTTGCGTACATAATATTTTCATAGATGTATTAAGAGGCAACAGTCAAAATATTTATTTTTTAAATATTTCTCTGAGAGATTATCTAGACCGTAAGTTATATTATAGCGCGGACAGCTCTCTTTTGTAGAATAAAATTATCTTGAATGCTAGCCGCAGAACCCTACAACAATAGACCATACGTCATTACACTATGAAAATAACTAAAATATACCAATCTTGCCGTTTCAACATTTGTCAAGAGTCTAATTTTCTTAACAGCAAATGCTGCAGATTTTTGTGAAGTAATTTATTTAACGAAAAGTGTGCAAGCAGTTGATTATAAATAATTTTCGGAAATACTTTGCTTAGCGCTGGTAATATAGATATTGGTCTGAAATTATTGGGAGCAGACTTGACGCTTGCCTTGAAAAGTGGGATTATTTTACCATATTTCATTAAATCAGGAAAAGTTCGTTTATCAATGTATTTATTAAAAGTAAAAGTTAATTGAGCCGCTATAGATGGTATTATAAATTTGATAACATAAGTTGAAACGCCCCTAAGAACTTCGAATTTTTCGAATTGAATGTTTTAATAATAGAGGTGTCGTTAACATGTCTAAAATAAAATTCAGTATTGCACTCAAGTCTAGAACATGAACTAAGATTTCTAGTGACTTATATTGGTGTCTTAGAAAATAATTTAAAACACTCCATTGTGAAACCTTTGCATAAGAAAGGCGATAAAACTATTTTTTTTTTAAATTCGGCCCATTTCACTGATACCAATTTTATCAAAGATATATGAAAAATTTATACATAATAAATTAATATCGTTTTTTAATAAATATAATGTGATTAAAAATAATCAAATAATCAACATGGCTTACAAAAAGTAAGTCTACTACACTTGCGGCCTTTGACTTGATTAACGAAATATTACAAAACATTAACAAAAGCAAATATACAACGGCTCTTTTCTTTGATATTTACAAAATAGAATGCAATATGTTGAAATAACTCAACTAGATTCAAAGGGTATAACTCGAAAGTATCAATCAGAATTATAAGTATAAAACATTGGAGTTCCACAAGGCAGTGACCTATCGAATGTAACTACACGACTAATAGTAATATGAAAATTTCTGACCACGAGAATGACATAAATAATACAATAATGACCATAGTAAACTTGCTTAAATTCCATAATCTGACAATAAATATAGACAAGACATATTTTATGAATTTCAATGATATAATTTCTAATAACTTGAATAATTTATACCAAAAATACATGCTTGAAGAAGCTGATGACGTTAGATTCTTAGGCACAACTATTGACAAGAAACTAGATTGGAAACAACATGCAGAAATCGTTTGTAATAAGATAAATAGCTTCTTATTTGCAGAATTTAAATTATTTAGAGTAGCGACAAGAAGTACGACTCTCACAGCATACTTCGCTTATGTGGAGTCAATTTTATGTTATGCAATTATTATTTGGGGCAATGGTACAGATGCGCAAAGGGCCCAAAAAATGCATAAGATCCATATGTGGCATCGCTTCCGATGTCTCGTGTAAACAATGGTTTAAATTTCTCGGTATTCTACCTCTTCCTTGCTTATATATACATGAAGTAGCGAAATTTGTCAAACAATTCCTTGACTATTACAAAATAGCTCATGAAGTGTATCCCAGGAACACTAGAAATAAAAATAGGCTAGTTCTTGACATAGTCCCAAAAAGCGCGCGATTTAAAAATAACTGCTACTGATGTGTCAAACAATATTTAATCAGATTCCGGAATCTATAAAGAATACACCTTTTTCTAGATTTAAGAAAGAGTTATATATCTGACTTGCTGAGCGTACCTTTTATTCTGTGCATGAATTCTTAGATAATGGAAACTGAACGTTGCCTTGGGGTGGATTGATCAGTGCTTAAATGTCTTCTTTTACTACATTTGCATGCTATATTTAATGGCTGAATAGGCGATACTGTATTACATTTTTACATCTCTTTTGTAAACCCTATTCAAACGCAAATTAATTATTATTACGTAAATGCCAAATACTAAGATATTGCTGTACAGCAATAAGGCCGCCTTTTTGTTGACTGTTTTTCGTATCCTGTATAATTTATTAGACAAGTACTGTCTTATGTGTGCAATATAGTATATTATTGTTATTAAAACTTATTAAATATGCAAGTTCAAGTGGAATATTTGACTTTTTCCACAAATGCACAATAATAAATCAGCCTGAGGCATTGTAAATCCTCATTATAATAATGCAAAATTCTCAAAAATACAATTTAAAAAAGTAACACTGTTATCAGACATTTGTTACCACTTTGTAACAAAATAAGATCTGATATAATCGTCTCTCAAACTTTGATGTGATAATTATACGAAACTGTCTTACATTTCGTCTCTTGATATTATCAGTAATGAGTTAAAGTCAACAGCTACAACACGAATTGAAGTGTTATTTCATTGTTTATCTTTACTAAAATTACTTAATATGTGTTAATTGTGCCAGTGGCATTATGGAGTGACGATTCTATTAGGAATTACTGTTCTATTGATATATTAGACGTGAAATTGCTGGTTTTGTTTTGTATTATTCAAGGTATTTTATATTTAATATATTTTTATATAGGTAATAATCAACATTATAATATTGTTCATAAATTATGGTTTTAGTGAAAGCTATCCGCAGTATTATAATTGAAATTTGACCCATCTGTGGTAAGAAAGCCGTTTGTATACATGGTGTTTTCAAAAAGCAACCTTAGATTGTAATGTGGTTTTAGCTTTTTCTTACATAGGTTTATCTAATTGATTAATGATTTAATATTTATATTGTTCTCGTGGAGTATTTCTTTAAAACTTTGGAAATTTCGCTAGGAATGTTAGTCAGTTTTATAGAATTCGAAAGATTAGGTTTATCAAACAATGTAGGTTGAAATGTTTACTTTGACTTATTTATTACAAAGAAATATCTTTTTCATTTATTTATCTTTGTCAAAATCAGCAACTTAATCTACTTTTTTTGTATTTAATATTTCTTGTGATTAGTTTTGCTTGTTTGATGAGATCAGTGATGTCACAGTTAGTACAAACAAAAAATCTGTGCAATAGGCAACTAGGGTTGCCAGATAGCGAGACTAAAATATCTGGACAAAATTTGAAAAAGTCGGGTTTTCGGATCACAGTCGAAACAAAAAAAAATGCTTATAAGGAATCCACTTTTTATTAATAAAATCAAAACTAATAACAAGTATCTACTTTTTTGTCATTTTATAAGATCACATAATAATAGTATAACATTTAAACAGCTTATATACCTACTTATTATATTTTTATGATATTTTTTTATACTTGGAATTCGATTTTAAAGAATCTAACAATTTTGTCGGGACATATTTGTTTTTTTCGGGACTCTGGACATCATACGAAATGTCTGGACAATCCAGACGAATCCAACACCCACTCCTTAAACTGAGTTGGAGCCAGTTTTGACGACAGTAAAATTGAATTTTTTCGTTATTTGTATTTGTATTGTCTATACTGTATAAGATGTGTTTTGTCATAATAAAATAAGTATTTTATTCTAAATAGGTAAGAATACTTATAAATTGTATTCTAAACTAATGAGATATTATTGATAACACAAATTTAAGATTAGAACACTATTTTCATCTTTTACTAGTCAAAATAATCATACTGTCCACTGCCTCAAATAAAATCATTCTGTATAATCTCATTTGTTTGACTTTCCTTATAAAATGTATGGTGATAATTTCTCTGAAGCAGTCGGCGACATGGCAAAGGTTCAAGTGGAGGAAGTCAGAAGGTTCATAGAGGATTGTTTGAGATCTGTGGGTGCACCGGACAGCGAGGCCAAGGCGCATGCCGCGTTATTACTGCACGCTGACGTCACTGGACATTTTAGCCATGGCTTGAACAGATTGGGTAAGTATTAATACAGTACATGGCACGAACGTAAACTCTACGTAGAAACTGAAAATATAAAAAATGAAATAATATTCCAAAGCTTAAAAAAGAAACTATGTCTTGTAGATATTGGAAATTATACTTATCTACAAGATTGTTGATATATTCAAGAATTTATGTTACTCCCAATATCCAAGTAAAGATGGTAAAGGCTCGAAAACTCGTCTATTTTTTATAATTATCTTACATTTACCAACTTGTGTTGATAAATCTCAAAATTAACACGTATATCCAAAAATACAAAGTTATCCTATGAAATTCATAATCCTAAGCAAAATTTTCGTAAATATACTGATAAATGATGGGATTAATTATTTTTTATATATTACGTAGGTAATGGTAACGATCTGTCCTTACCCATTTGTATTTTTAACCGATAAGTGATCTTAATCTTATTTTGTCTTGTCTTTATGTACAATCAATAAAACATTCACGAAGTACACCTTCCGCAGTGTTTTACATTAACGACATAGAAACGGGTTCCACCAACCCGAGTGGCAAGCCGGTAATTCTACAGGAGTCTGCGGCGACAGCGCTGGTGGACGGCGACAACGCTCTCGGCTCCACTGTTGGCGATTTCTGCATGGATATAGCGATTAAGAAAGCTAAGGAAATGGGAATCGGACTGGTCACCGTTAAACGTAAGCAGAACCAGTCCTGCGATTCTGAAAAGAGTCCAAACCTGAATTCGAATAGGGATGATGACTAATTTTTGTTTGTTTGTCCGTCAGGTAGAGTGTTAAAAAATATTAAACTCGTATTTTTTTATTTTTTTCGTAATCATAAAATTACAGCGTTACATGGAGTTGAAATTTCGCATGACGTCACGTTATGGTACGTTTTCTACTCAACTGTGACGTAGCGAGCCCCCACTCCTCAACTTTAATGCCTGTTATCTAAGCTATTTCTTGTTAAATTGAAGTAAAAAATAAATACGTATCTAAAATTTTTCTGTCATCTGACTGACGGACTAAATAGAATTGCATTATTTACACAGTCGTCATCCTAATTCACTCAGTTGGCCGAATTCACTTTAAGAAGCGGCATCCGCTCAATCTTGAATTGAAGTGAGTGGCATAAGTGAAGTGAGTTTCGAAATAACATAGGAATATAATATCTGAGACACGTATATTCTATCAATTTTGCCTTGTATTTTTATACAAAAAATTGAATTAATAGAATTTCTACACTAAATGAAGTGAATTACATATGAGTGCATTCGAATTCGGGTCTGGATTTTTACAGAATCGCAGGGCAGAACGTATTTATTTTCTTCTGCTTTCTACGTGCATCTTCTCAACTTGAATTTAAATTCAAAAGTTGTTGTGGGTGTGTGTTTTAGTGGTTGTAGTGGTGGCAAATCTTTCAAATGTCAAAGTATTTTTTTTTATTATTGACAATTCTTTTGAAATTTGCCATTTCTTTTCCGATACCCGTTCAAGCCTCCTTTTAGCTGTGATGGGTGGAAGAAATTCCATAAGGTTTTATACTCGTAATTAGGTTTTTTTTTATATCTAACTCACACTTGTGCTCTCTCTTTTCTATCGCAGTTTTTTATATTAAGTTCTAATATCACCATAATTAAATAATAGTGATGACTATTTTTTTTTGTCTGTCCGATAGGTAGATTATTGAAAAATATAAATCACGTTTTTCTATATTTAATGACGCATGACGTTACGCTTTTGTACATATTCTACAAAGCTGTGACGTAGCGAAACCCCTCTCCTTAACTTTAGTGCCTCTTAAAATTGTAGAAAAAAAAAACGTTATATATATTATCTGAATGACGGACTTAATAGACTTTTCTTTTTTACACAGACATTTTCCCTATTAAGGTCAATAATGGAAAAAAAAATACAATATGGCTTTAAAATATACACATTAAGTAATTCCTTTTAATTATTTATTGATTTGCACCTAGCCTAAGAGCCTAAGTATGAGCAACAGAATTGTTATATACAATACTTCAATAAAATTAGTAAGATATCTTTAACAAATAATGTTGAGAAATAAAACATTATTTCTCTAGCTTTTCCTTATTAGTTTTTAAGTGAAATGTTAATAATGTTTGCCTTATCTCTAAAATAGTGAAGACACATGTTGATTGTGCATTTCAGCCTTTATATTCTAATACATAGAGAGCAACCACTTCGGCATGGCTGGCTGGTGGGCCCTGAAGGCGGAGCAGCAAGGCCTCATCGGGCTAGCGTTCACAAACTCATCTCCAGTTTCGGTGCCAACCCGGGCAAAGAAAGTAAACACATATACAAAACGAATAGCGGAATTTGGTAGTTTATATCGAAAATCTTCTTACTGTCAATTTTACTTTTCAGGCGGCCTGCGGGACTAATCCTATCGCGATGTTCGCCCCTGCTGCAGGTGGAGACAGTTTAGGAGTAGACATGGCTACCACTACCGTTGCAGTCGGAAAGGTATGGTTGATAAGGATTTAATTTATCGGAATACCTTCCTATTCCTTTTCCGTTTTTATTTGCGTTTCGACGTTTCAATTGCTTTTCAAATGATTTTGGCTACGCGCCCTGTTAATAAAGCGTTTGTATAAAAAGTTTGTTTTTAATTGGATGGTTGGCAATTGGCATATTAGTGTCATCACAGTATACATGTTCATGATGTCGATAAAATAAAAAAAATATCATCTGGTAATCTGAGTGTTGTTATTTTATATCTTCGTAGTTTTGTATTTAGATTTTAGCAACTTTATTTGAATATGAACTATTTGTCTACAACAGCACGCAACAGCACGTCAGATTATACCAAACTATCAAATTACCATTCGATTGTAAACCTTAATATATTGAGTGTAGAGCTCGAAATCCATAGCAGAAATGTGACATACCGTGGTAACCTTACAAGCAGCTGTGTGTACCTAGTCTAGCGAGTAAAATGTTGTTTTTCTAGATTGAAATGCAAGTACACAAAGAGGAGCCAATACCAGAAGGCTGGGCTCTGGGTCCCGATGGGCGGAGTACTACGGACGCTGAATTGGTAAAGTTCTAATCATAAAAGTATTCAATTACTCTTTTAAGTATTGCAAAAATTGAATTGGGTTATTGCAGCAGAGAAAGAGGATTCTCCACTCTCCACTGTCCGCTGTCATCTCATCATCACTCACTCCATTCACTTTCATATCATGCCTCACACATTTTATCCATCTTTACTGTGGTCATCCTCTTGCTCTCCATTCATCGGCACTTATTTACATAGGTATAATAAAAATATAGATATACATTAATTGTTGATACTTTTTATAAGTTTATATTCATCACCACACTTTCATTGCGTCAGGATTGAGTATATAATGTTTACCTTACTCTAAAAACTTTAGTTAGATAGTATTCTAAAACATGTTTTTTTATAAACGGTTTGGCCATCGGCTGCACTCCATCGAGGTCTATACGCAAGGTTATAAACTACCAACTTGTGCAAAATTATTCAGCCATATCTTAGATGTCTATTTATACATAATAATTATTATGTATATATAGGTATAACCTCGATATATATATATATAATATATTGGTTTTTTAGGCTCTAAAAACGCAGCGTTTGCTTCCGCTAGGTGGCTTTGAGCAAACAAGCGGTTACAAAGGTTATGCTTTGGCTATGCTCGTAGAAGTGTTATGCAGTGGATTATCAGGTTTGTTACTATTCTCATATTAAAAGTAGCGCCTTTATGAAATTAATGGCAATTATTCAAAAGTGACGCCTTAAGAAAACTAAAGACTTATTTATCATATAACCAACTGTTGACCAAAACCAAACTTACTCTCCCCACAGGCCAGACGTAAACTTCTCGAATGTATGGTATCATCAATAACAAATTTGATTACTCTGATTTAATCAGCCGTTTATGCTATATATTGTTCTTACAACCGTTCACAATCGCAATATTCGTGTTCGCAAGTTGTTTGCGATTAGTTAATGTCGTACAAATGCCTACAATGATAATTTTAAAAGGTGTTTGGTAACAAATTTCGAGATTGAGATAGATATTGACGGATATTTCAAAGTATACATATGTACTCTGTTTATTTTAGTGTTTAACCTCCTAACTGACAATAACTACGATTTATCGAAGTATACTTTATATTGCTGCCATCTATTGACTAGTTATTCAAGTTCTTTTTCCTTCTATTTTCTAATGCTTCCTCATTATGTGCTCATCATACTATAATTTTAAATTACTGTAAATTCATTATTAAGTCATGGATAGCGTTTTTTAATTACATGTTTAACTATTTATGTGAAATTTAATTTATGATTATTAATGAAAAATGTGTAGTTACCTTTTTTTTCTTTATTGGGAATAGCTAAATTCCTAAAAGAGAGAAAAAAAGGTAATTGTAGATTAGTCGCCGCAGCGAGTCATTTAGTAAAACATTGTAGAGGTACTAAACAAATGTCAGTCGCAGTCACAGTCACTTTATTTGCAAAGTTTGCAATAAATAAGGAAATTAATGTTAATAATTGAAGAGGTTGTTGACATATTTTTTTTATTATTTTAATATTATCAAAATATAATAAAAACAAAAATATGGTCCGGTCCAAAAATTTTAAATGGTGCAGTAGTACTGAAGCGTATTCGATGTAAATCAACAATTGAATCAAAATTTTCCTCTTTATAACATTAGTATAGAAAAATAAAAATTAGACAACATCGCATAAATTGTTCAGATTGCCAGATAAGTAGCTAAGCCTCTGTATTATGAAGTATCTGAGATAATGAAAGTAACACAACCAAACCGGAGATAATACAGAAAAAAAATATTTTCTACATGTACCGTATCGGAAATTGAATCCAGAACGTCGATGGCGACACCTGTCATTTATACTTATATATATTTATACTAGAATTAGATTTACAAATTTTTACTACCGTTTGAAATGTCAATTCGTACAGTATTTGATAACAGACAAAGCTACTCAAAGAATGAAATCTATTTCATCGAATTTGAATATTATGTTTAGCATGTTAAGGTTCAAATTTGATGTGTTGCACTATACAGCGCAACACATTGCTATACGGCAACAATGCATTAACACAATAATTAAAATAAATATTAGATTAATTACCATATAATTGCATCATACATTCAATAGGTACTAGTTACACAAAACAAAATTCAGAACAGTTTTGTTTTTGTACTTAATCAAAGCTACAACTTCAAGTATCGCAAAAAACTTCCAGTGTTCATAAAAATAAAACAATGCCAGTTGATGTTGCATATTTATCTGCTTCTAATGAATTATTTATGAACATCTAGATACTTCCATGTTTCTTACCGGATGTTTATATAGGTATATCGTAATATGTCAAAATAACAACATTTTGTCTTAGAATTGTATTTGTTTTTAGGGTCACCCTTTTTTTAATGATCTAATTATTCATTTGTTTTGAGTTAGGTAATTAAATTACATATACAAATATAAAAAATATTAAATAAAAAAAATATATTTTAATCTTATACAATTACGTTTTCTAAGTTTAGGTAAAATATCGCTTTGACTAATAACAAATTTTAATGGACGTTTGTGCAACTGGCGCTTAACTGACAGCTCAAATCATATTTTTTTCTTTTAATGTTGTAAGCCATCTGCAAAATCAGATTATAGTATAACAGTAACACTTCAGACATAATGCTGAATGTCCACTGGACAGTCACTTTTCCAATTTCTTACAGAAGTCAATTGACGACTTCGTCCAGTGAGCGATATTTTAGGCATACAACTAGATCTTACAGCAAATTCCACGAGTTACCAAAACATCAAAACTTATGTCGCAAGTCACCCCCTCCGTAAATGTAATGTATAAGGTTGATGAAGAACTTATCTAACTAACTAAAACTAGACTCAATGCATATCTGCTATATCTCTGGAAAATATATCTCGATATGCCTTGTCTGCCTGCATACCTTTTGTTATAACCGAATGGAACGACCTTAACACATAAACGACGTCGGACTAGACGACGGTACCTACAATCCTACTAATATAGTAAACATCCTTTGTAAAGAAAGTCCACAATTTTTCTTTCTTTTTTTTAGCAAGTCTACAAGAATGTTTTTACGTAATTTAACTATTTGAATTGTGTAATTTTTTTGTATGTATGTATTTGTGTATGTATTGTCGCTATGTGCTTTCTGCATTGTGTATAGTGCTATTGATCTGTATGTACTATCTGTAGTTCAAGTATATTGGATGTTTACGCTTTTTGAATATAATGTTGTGTACACACGCTTCTGGGGTGCAGTCTCGCTCTTATCTTTGCATGCTTTTTATATACTTTATATGATTGTAACCTGTTGTGTGAACCTTTAATAAATAAATAAATCCTGCACTTCAATTCTGTAAATGTTTACGTAATAAGTGCATCTCAATATAATCCCACCTACTTGCATTACCATTGTAGTTTCTACTTAAAGTCCAATATTATAAGTCAAGCAATGTCTTTCTCGCACATCGATGGTGATAGATATATAATAATAATGGAATTCAGATAGATAGTCTAATAGTAAAATGCAAGTAGTTGAGATAACCCTTTCGCGAAGTCCGTGCCCTGGTAATCAGCAAAGAATTGCCGAGGATTCAAAGTAAGCCACACATTTAAACAATTACACTATTGAAATCTGGAATTTTTGTCACAGGTTCGTTAGCATCACATCAAGTACGCTCTTGGTCTATGTACGAGACCAGTAAACCAGCTAACCTTGGACAATGTTTCATCGCTATCGACCCGCGATTCTTCGCTCCCGGCTTTGAAGACAGAATGGCTGACTACTTGCAACATTTACGCAATTTAGAGCCAGTAAAGTAGCATAAGACTATCTTTATTACCTTTGTGATTGAATCCGATTGTTTGTTTTTTTACTAGACAATTCATTTTATTTGCTACTTGCAGTTGCATGAATCATCATCCACCCTTTTACGTCTTGCAGGAGCTCAAGCCTTCCTTATGGATGATTAAGGAGGTCATGACCCTCCACGCTGATTGGAGGGTATTTACGATTGCAAATTTCGCCGAAACCAAAGGTTTAATGTGCTTTATATGAAGTAAGATAATATTTTTTTGTCCCATCCCGTGATCGACCCTTGCGAAAGTTGCTTATCCACTTTATCTACTACGCCACCGAACTACTCATTTGCAGGAATAGGGATTATTCGTCATGATTACATTTTTTGTTCGTTAGGTAGTTTATTTAAAATTAATTAAACACGTATTATTTAATTTTTGCGTAATCAATATATTATTACTGACTGTCACATGACGTCACGCCTTTGTAGATTTTCTACATAGTTTTGATTGTGACGTAGTGAACCCTTAACTTTAATGCTTTTATCTAAGTCATTAGGCTTGCCGTTCTCGATCGGCCTCTGACAAATTCTATTATACAGTCGTATTATAATTTCATAAACTATAACAAACTTAACAATCCTAGAAGTAAAGTATATGGCGGCCTTATCGCTTAAAAGCGTTGTCTTCAAAAGCGATATCTTCTGGGCAATTATGTAATAGTGGATAAGCGCCGCGGCCCGCGATCGTTGTCGTTAAGCAACTTTCGCAAGGGTCGGTCACGGGATGAATGACCAAAAATTATTATCTCGAGCTACTCCGTGCTTCGGAAGGCACTTTAAGACGTTGGTCCCGGCTGCATTTGCAGTCGTTAATAATCTTCAATCCGCATTGGGCCAGCGTGGAGGGTCATGGCCCATCCTCCTTAACTATCCGTAAGGAAGGCCTGAGCCCCTGCAGTGGCGACGTAAAAAGGCTGGTAATGATAAAAATGAAAATTATATAATAGTTATAATTATACCAGGTGGACCCATCTCTTCCGGTGCTAGCTCCAGGTGATAAGGAGCGTCAACACAGTGAGCTGACACACAGCTGTGGTACCATCACGTACGCTCACAATATCATCCAGCTTTATGAAACTATAGCGGACCGACTGGGCGTCCAACCGATGCAATTGAAATTATAGAGCCTATCATATTGATATTAGAGGAAATTAGAGGAGCATTTGAGTCGAACAGATTTGTTTAGTCCGTTGTATGTTTATTTTGAAATTAAATGATATTTCTTAAAACATAAAATAGCATATTCATTTTCTAGTAATACACAAATATATGAATTGTTAATTTTCAAACAAACACAAACAATAAACTATAAAAACTAGCGGGCATGTATAAAAACAAACGTTGAAAAAATACTTAAGTATCGTTCTATTTATAAGATAAACATAAATATAGCATTCTTTTGATGAATTTTAATAACATTTTAACGTCGCCTGCCGCGGCACGTTTCGAAGCTCGATACAACAAATTTTTGGTCACCAATTCTATGTCTCGCCCTTGTGACAGTGTTTTTACCCAACGTTAACCTCTGCATAGCGGAACGGAAGGCACTAACCAATGCGCTATTGTTATGTAATCTATTATTCTAAAGATATTTCTAATATCCCACTTCAGAGACGTGCTGAAACAAAAGTAAAATAGGATAACCTTTATAGAAACGGGATCACGGTACCCACATCGAATACTTCGAGTACCTTACTGTCTTAAAAAAGTTTATACTAGGTACGGGGATTTAAGAGCCTGCACTAAATTATTGATCCGCCCAAACACATCTCAGTAGAAGAAACATTTTCATTGTTTTATAATGTAATACGTGTCGCCATTTTGTTTTTACACTTTATAATACCTCTAAGCTTTTACACAACTGCTAAAATATATGTGAGTGTATTGTTTTAAGGGTAAATAAGTATGTGAGTTTCTTTATTCCACCATAAAAGATTCATGGATATGAATGTATAGGTTATTGTTGAAATCATTACATCATTCCAAGTAACACTGGCTATAATTAAAAAAAATATCAATATGCCGTATCACAAGTATCACACTTTTCAAATATAAGAAAAAAAATTTAAAAAAATAGCATAGCATATAGGGTTTCAAATAAAAAGTCTCGATAAGTACATTTCAAAAATATATATTTTGTATTGGTAAAATAGGTAATAAAAGGAATAAAATAACAATTAATATTAAATTTTGGGTAGCCGAGTTATTTTTTTTTTTGGATGATTCTCCTAAAGTTCACTATTATACCTTATCTTAAGATGTTTATTAATAAGAAAATAATATAATGACTCGAACGAGTTCATATCAATTTTAAAGTTAAAATTACAGTTACATTTGTAAATTGTGTTAAGTGAGCTTAAGTGAACCGTGCTTGTGTGTTACTTTAAACATTATAGCATTCCGTTATGCACACATCATACAAAAGAATGGTAAGCTTACTTTTAACTTAACTCTCTTTATGATATACAATTTCTTATGCAGATTATTGCAAAGTTATTTAAATATAAATATCGAGTGGAAATATCGGGTTAAAATTAAAACTGAGTTGTACAGCTCCTTGAAACTGAGATATATTAACTTTAAAATACAGGTGAGAAAAGCGACCACGGCCTTTAATGCAAACAAATATTCCAAGACTCGAGGGACTCAAAGTTGAAACAAGCAACAACGTTTTGTAATGTATTAGAATAGAAAATACATGAGCTGAAATATAGTTGTGACGTGTTCGATGCTTGGGCGAATGAATGAAAGGCTGACTAAGTTTGAGAACTTGATTTTATTATACGGTAATAAAGAAAAGGATAAAGAAAAACTGTAACACACAAAAAATGAATATATAGTTCGTATGATTACCTAAATATATAATTATAATTATTAAATAAAACAAATACATACCCTGTTTCTGGTTTTTCTGTAATATATAAACTTGGACGATATTTCACGAAGGTATACTTTTAGATTAACAATTTTCTTATTTAAATTATAATAACTTAATTATTGTTCTTCTTTTTTATTTAAATTATCATCATGTTCACACCAGATGATTTTTTTTACGAACTGACATTCATAAGAGTATATTGTATATTGGATTAGTCAAAATTTCAAATTACGAAAGGTGAATAATAAAAAGAAATAATGTTGAATATCAAAAACAAAAAGTTTGCATGCTGAAACCTAGGACGAAATAAACGTATGTACGCACCGTTACAGCATTACCTCCTAGCATTATTATAGCTGCAGTTCACACAGACATCACAAAAGAGTATTTTTGAAGTCATTCATGTACTGGCACCCAGTTTAAATCCATTCGATTGATATTATTTTCTCTCACTCAGTATTTTTTTCACACAATTTAGTGTTTAATTTTAGTTGTTAGTTTAGATTAACCGTTTCCCACTATTAGTACCTAGCTTATTTTTTGTAGGTATACCTTTAAGTCATTCATAAATCATGGCAAGTTAATTATTTTTTTGCTCATATACTCGTAATAAAATGCCGCTCTGTTATCGCATTAGCAGTCATCTATATATTATTTTTTTCCAATTGATTAACAATTTCTATTTTCTTTATATAAATAGTGTGTTTTCAGCTTTAGCAAGCCATTTGACGTCTAGCCAAAGTGCACTGAATCCAGTTGCCGGACTTTACAATAAGATATAGCAATAATAATCACCCATCCACGTAAATTTATTAATACTGTAAATCTGTAATTTAATAATAATAGTTTCATTATAATAACATACCGTTGTCAGTTCACGTAATAAGGGGGCATTTTCATAGAACGGGTTATGTTGAAACTTCTATTTTTGTCTCTAATGTAACGTTATTTGTTAATTAATTTCTTAAAACTGGTCTTTGAGTACCAATAGCTGTTTGGAACATTGAAAGTATAATGGGAATCTATGCGATCTTCTTCCCCACTAACGTAAATTTCCTTAACCTCTTCTTCCAAGTCCTAAATCATTCACGTCAACTTTTAGGTTTGGTGCGGGTCGCCTCCCACGCCCCCCTACCCCTTAATCCGCCACTGCAGAGGATTGAAAAGCCCAATCCGGCCATCCTTGGAAAAATTCTATTATTAATTTTCCTTTCTTCATTTATTAACTTTTTTTTAATTAATTTTTATTTTTTTTAATTTTTTTATCTTTTTAAAATAAAAAACCCCGACCAACAAGGTCTGATACTCTGTAAGTCTTGCATAAATATGAAATAAGGTAAGAAGGTTAATTCGATTGAAATACATAATCTACTTACAGTGCACAGTTATCGAGTGTGAATATAATTTTTAAAAAAATTTGAACATAAATTGTGTACTTAGGTAGTGTTTGCAAAAAATTGCTTTAAATATTTTTTATATAAGAGTTACCAGGAAAATACATTACGAAAGTTAATGGCTATTGTGTTTTTGGATTGTAAAGGGATACTGACTGATTAAATAGCTTAATGCGATATTGTAAAGGACAATATTTTTACACTATAAGTACTCTAAGGAGATTCTTATATAATAGCAAAATTACACTTGTAGATTAAATGACATCGTAGCCTTCAACTACAAAATTAAAGGTAGCTTGTAAATCCAATTGAAAATATTACTGTATTAATGGATGTAGAGTGTATGTTCTTGTCGAAATAAGAATTTTGTTGAAAGAAAAAGTTCATAAAAGTTTTTTTTGCCTATTATTACAATATATTTGAATTGCGATAAGTGTCAAGTCAAGCATCAGAGCTATGTCAATCTAATTACAGTAACATTATTATTCCAAAACTCTCAAGATAAATAGCTAGTATCAGTATTAATAATGAAATATACATTACATAGTTCGTCTTTTAAATTTCACTGACCACAAACAAAAACAAATCTCCAAAGTAAACTCCGTCGTTCACCGTCCCGTCCATCTCTAATAAACAAATCTGGACAAATTCAAACTTACAATATAAATGCTTGGAAGAAGCATTTGAAAATGTAAGAATTTGTCTCCAAAAATTATAAATTAAAATTCCAATCTCGGCTTAGTTATCCGATACTTTAACGTTTGTAACAGTAAAAAATATACATTACAATAAGTGACAAACCATACCGCGATCTAGTAACCAGTACAGCGCCATCTAATGTAGTAGAACGTACTATTAACTTCCTGCCCCGGTTGTAAAAATTCTTAGACCCAGATTAAAATCTATCACAACCCACGATCGCAACACTCATAGTGGCCAAAAGTAGAAATAATTTCATCCAAATCCTCCCAGTAGCTTTTTCGTGAAAGAGTAACAAACATACATTCATTCATCCTCACAAACTGTCGCAATTATAATATTAGTAGGATAACTTGAACTTTTAGTAATTTTAATAAAAATTTCCTTTTTCCAATGAGTTTAACTAGAAAACCAATCTCAAACAATCTCCGCGCCGAAAAGTGTAAAACTTTTTAAAATAATTACATACAATATAACCATTCTTTGATATCGATATCTGAAAACAGGACTACCTGTTTTCAGAACTACTACCTGTTATAAAAAGTATTTTATCGGTATTTTTATTATCTCCCCCAAACCGTTGGCCCCATATCTTCTAACATCTAACTTATTATAGGATGTCCAATCTCGATTTGATTTTATCGACAATCGTTCTTCGATATTTTGCCACTCAGATGGATCTCAGACAATCGTCGCAAAACAAAATCGATTTTTACTATTATTGTCTATAAAGAAATTATCTTTAATTCGCGTCTCAGTAGCCTATTCTATGTTCGTTTTTAACATTGTTCAACAATAAAATCATTTTTAAAATAAAAATATTTGTGATTATGGAAACGAAAAAATCTTAAAGCTAAAATCTTATAGAATGCATCTACTTATAAAGTTTCAATATGTATATCCTAAGCCTAACAAAAAAAAACAGCAAAAAGGTACTTAGGAATAAAGTGGCTGTGACATATTGCCGGACGCACAGACATATAGACAAGTTGTTGACGAATCTATAAGAGTTTCTAAGTTTGTCGACTCATGTACATTGTTTGATAGGATCCGCATTTGGAGTGCGGCGGTATTCGTGCTTATATACATAAGTGTTTGACTGAAATTAGAGAGTATGAGCCCGTAGGAATCACTCGCACTATGAACGCGG